ATATATATATATATATATATATATATATATATATATATATATATATATATATATATATATATATATATATATATATATATATAATAGTTATAAAGTGATATATGTCAAAATATAATAAACAAATTCTGTATCAAATCACACGTGTCATCACTCATGTGATTGGCTTACAGGCACCTATGACTAGCAGAAAATTGTTCGAAGGTGCTCGACATGCTCCTCGAGCGTTTGGTTGTAGACGATGATATCGTCCAAGTAGACGACCACAAACTTATCCAAATACTCTTTGAATAGTTGGTTCATAAGAATGCAGAACGTGGTCAGAGCGTTGGTTAAGTTGAAAGGCATCACCAAGAACTCAAACGCTCCATACTTAGTCACGTAAGTAGTCTTCGCTTCGTCGCCTTCAGTAATGCGCACTTGCTAGTACCCTGACTAAAGGTCAAGTTTGGAGAAATACTTGCCTTTACCCAATTGGTTGAACAAGTCCGCGATGAGTGGGATGGGATACTTGTTCTTCACCGTCACTTTGTTGAGGGCTCGAAAATTGACGCATAGTTGGAGGCTCCTATCTTGTTTCTTTTGGAAGAGAATTGGAGCTCCGAATGGTGCTTTAGAGCTATGGATGAGACCATCGCTTAGTAGTTCATCTAACTGCTTTCTGAGCTCTGCCAGCTCTGGAGGGGACATGCAGTAGGGTGGTCTCGCTGGAAGCTTCACTCTTGGCTCTAGCTCGATATGATGATCCACGCCTCTGCATGGTGGCAAAGTCTTCGACAACTCGGGTGGCATAATGTCTGTGAACTCCTTCAGAACTTTTGTCACCACAACAAGTTCATGAATGACCTTCTCGTCGAGTGGCTCTAGCTTCACAACAACCATTAATGTTAATTCGTCTTTTTGTACCCATTTCTTCAGTTGTAATGCCGATATCTGTTGAGGGTTCTTGGTTCCTCTCCGAGAGATGAGAACCACACAAGGGTCGTCGTCACCTCCCATCATACATAGGGAGTTTAGAAACGACAACTTCATTGCGTGCATAAACTCCATTCCAAAAATCACTTGGAAGTCGTCCAATGGCACCGCCATCATATTCGTGCTCCCGCTCCATGTTCAAATCTTGATGGGGACTCCCTTTGCCAATCTGGAGATCTGCTTGGCCTCCGAGTTCACTGCCTTCATCCGACTTGGGTTCTTTTCCAAGATCAACCCAAGTTGCTTTACTTCTCGATCGACAATAAAGTTGTGGGTAGTGCCAGTGTCCACCATTGCATAGGTTGTTTGGCCATTGAGCTTAATGTCCACGTACATTAGCTCGCTACTCTTTGCTTTCAATGGCTTTGCCTTCATATTCTCCCCCACTTGACCCTGCAATGCATTCAACAAACACATTGCTCCCATTCGGGGACCTTACGACTCCTCATCGTCGCTATTGGATTTTAAACTACTTGAACTAAGGGCGACGACCTTGCCCTTGTCTGATTTGGGAGGATGGATTGAAGCTGTTAAAGCATTGAGTGCTTGTTTCTGTGGGCACTCCCTCACCATGTGTGACCCTCTGCACAAGAAGCATCCGCTAGGTTTTAGGGCTTTGCCTTTTGAGCTTGGCCCTTTGTGGGAACTCTTTTTCCTTTGTTTGCCCCCAGGCTCCTTCCCTCGAGAATATTTTAGAGGGCGATTTCTTGAAGATTATTTCCTTTTCCCCGAGTCATCCGAGAAAATAAAGTCGGTGAGCCTTTTTGTGGCCGCAATTGCCCCGATCACATCGGTGACATTCCTTCGATGTAATTCTTGTTGAGCCCATGGTTTTAGACCATCGAGGAAGCTGAATAGCTTATGCTTCTCGGACATGTCTTGTATGTCCAGCATTAGCATAGAAAATTGCTTCACGTAGTCTTGGATGTAAATACTTTGGCGAAGTTGTCTCAACTTCCTCCTTGCGACGAACTCTGTGTTCTCGGGTAGGAACTGAGTTCTCAACTCTAGCTTTAAGTCCTCCCATGTGTCCACTCGACACTGACCTTATTGGATCTCCTCCCAACGGGTTCACCACTAAAGTTTTGCATCCCCGTTCAAATATATGGTTGTTATTGAAACTTTAGTATCTTCAGAATCAGGCCTTATAGCTCGAAAGTACTATTTCATGTCAAACAAGAAATTCTCGAGCTCTTTTGCATCCCTAGCACCTCCATAGCAACACGGGTGTCACAAACTTAGCTGAAATTGCTTAAGTTGTGAGGCACCATTACGGTAAAGTCATAAACTTAGCTAAAGTTGCCTAAGTCATGAAGCACCCTTGCACCAACTCCTCGGACTTAGTTGGAATTGCTTAAGTCATAAGGTGCCCTTGCGACATATGCGTCCGCAAAGGTTTAGCCTAGTTGCAACCTCGTACAGGCCCCGAAGGACTTGTAAAATAGAAAGTTGATTAGTTTGAAAACGAGCGATGGACAAGTCTCGATGTCTCGCGAAGACGGAAGCTTTACAAGCAATTTAGCAAACACCTTGAGTGCAAGAGAGAAAAGAGAGGAATGAGAAAACAAGGACTTTAGAAGGTAGAACGAATAGTTGTAGGTCCACAAACAACTACTCACCGGGTGCCGAGCGCAAAGGCAAGTTTCCATCAAGTTAACATGTGAACTTGTGAATATTTTTTAATACCCGATAATATATCGAAGCCCCATCCAGTCTTGTGCCATCCGGGGGGTTCCAAGGTGCTGAGATGGTTGACGTTTTGGTGTACTGCTACGACTTGCAGAAAACAAGTCATGGCTCGCAAAAATAGAGCCATTTTAGGGCATTTCGGCTTGGCGCGACAAGTGATCGCACTACAACGTTGCAACCTATTCGAACATGCATTTTTACAAGCAAAAACACACAAGACCAAGGCAAAACAGGTTGTCATATTTATGTACAAGCATGCAAAAGCGACAAATGGTTCATTGAACGAAGTTGTTATGAGTGTACAACGATCGTTCGTGACAGTATGGGCCTAACAATACCATACCCGATGTACGATCTCTAGAATATTAGATAAATGATGTACTATACATACATAATAACTAAGGACAGACATATCCAATGGATTATATCCCCTTATACCATTTGAGGACTATGGCGTAATGACCTAATACGTCCATAGTCGATGAGTTGAGTGAATTATTATGAGATAATAATTCATTGAGTCAGAAATAATTCTGACAGGTGCAACTCACGGTCAGCTCGGTATTAAGCCTAGAAGGTCACACACATATGGTGGATAGCACGACGAATAGAAGATTGAATATGTGATATCTAATAAGTCCTTATTTTATTGGATCCATTGGGTGGAACCCAATCGGAGCTTAGAGTGAATATTTGAATAGAGATCAAATTTTCATTAGGCTATGAATAATTGGATAGAGATCCGGTGTCTGATATGCCAGGATAATTCGATGAAGAACCAATACCCAATAGGGTAGGATCCATTTATGTTAAGTTGAGAGAACTCTCTCTAAATAAGAGATGGACCAAAAGGTCATAGATTGGACTCCTTTAGCTGCCTAACTCCTTTTTTCTCCTCCCCTTTCTTCCCTTGCATCGAGAGGAGATGCATCGTCGCTTCATCCATCGTGTGGATCACTACTAGATATGAGTTTGTGAAAACTCTTTTATGCATAAGCTAGAATATGTAGATTAAGAAAAAAGAACGTGCCGCGAAAGAGATGCATCGTCGCTTCATCTATCGTGTGAATCACCACTATATATGAGTTTACGAAAACTCCTTCATCCACGAGCTAATATATGTAGATTAAGAAATATAGGATCCCTCCTAGATGCGTTTTTCATGAATTTTACACTCTTTATCTTTACACGATGGTTGATATAATTTTTTTAAAAAATAATTTTATTTTATTTTTACTATACATGTGATGCTCTTTACGTTTCCCAAGGAACCCAAGTTAAATGTCTTATCTATATATAAATATAATAGTATAGACACCTTAGATGTAGAATAGAGATTTGCCACTGCAGTGATCAATATTAGAACCCGAAGGAAAATTTCGAAGACAATGATTCTCAAAATGTCAAAAGTGAAATTCATCATCACATCTTGAGGGTTCATATTTCTGTGAGGTGAACATTGCACAAGCAGTCTAAAGATGCTAGTAACAAGTAGTTCAAATGAAATTTTCCTTGGACTCGCAAGTTAAGGCAACCGATTGACAAACAAAACTTGACAACGACATGTTGCCGAGTCTTAGTTAATCATCTTTCCTCTTCCGTTTTACATGAAGAATACAAGTGGGATCATAGCCTATCATTTTATGCAGTAATGAAGAACTATCAGTGGCAAATCAAGAATGACCACCCACCCGTCCGTTGATCGTTGCATATTCCCAAATCTTCTTTTCGCCTCGTGATACTTGCTAATTACACATAGTTTTGTACCATCTTCTTGGTTTTTCTGTGGTTCAGCCATTTCAACAACCACTTCACATACATTATCATAAAACAAGTGTGTCACCACATAAGCAATAATTATATGATCACCGATTGACATCATGATTCAGAAAATGAGTCTGTGGCGCTTAACCTTGTTACATTTAGTAGTTGGATCCTCCAAAGCGCTCTCTAAGGTCGTTCTTGCACTTCTTCGACGCCTTAGCATTTAGTAACCCCGTGAACTGCTGAAACCACAATAGAGGAAAAGCGAAAGATTAAAGAAAATTCCGGTGCTACGGAGAGAACAAGGAGAAAGAACACGAGCCACGCGAGTCCTCAACGAGTCGAGGCAAACGCTGAAGAGCGGAGACGCAATCTTGGAGGTCGTGGCGCGGTCGAAGAGCCGCAACTACACAGAACATACATCTGAGGCGTCGGAGACCGTCAATGAGCTCTCGCCAGTTTCTGGGTGGTGCAAAAGGGAGAGCCAATCTCGAGGGGCGAGAAAGCCCTAAAGATTCGAGAAGGAACCAGAGAGACCCCAAGGACAAAAAGAAACATGGGAGGGACGAGAGGAGGTGAAGCCTAAGGAAAACCCTAATGATCCAAGCAGAAACCCTAAGAACAAGCAATAGAAATAGGGGAAAGGATGAGAGGAAGAAACGAAGGGAAGAAAAGAGATGAGAGGGAAGGCAGTTATTTTGATCACTGCATTAACATTCGAGATTGTCTATTTAAGATGGAGAAGGAAGGCAGTTATTTTGATCACTGCATTAAGATTCCCCGACCAAGTGCGCTCTAACGACCGTCCGATATGGGATGTGTTGAAGCTGTAGTCAAGTTTCTTTCTAATTCATCAACATTTTCCATGATGTTAATCACTGTATAGAGTATATATACAAGTAGTGATAGGTTCAATAGAGACTGGTCGATCTTATTTAGTAAAATAAGATATTTCCGAACAAATTCACAGATGACACCCTAAAGATTATCTTATTGATGATATTGTTCATGACCTCCATAAGGAGTTGCTAACTATGATGAACGTGCTAACTATGTCTATGACGTTTAAAAAAAACCCAATTTGACATTTGGCATCACTGGAAGAAGCCTTTAATGGACTGCTATCTTAAAACTAATATATATAAGTTCACAAATATGCAGACTTATCAACATATATGATGGCTGTTGATCCTAGGTTAGCAATCAGAAAACAAACATGATGACCATCTCTGGGCTTGTGTTCTCCCTCAGCCACTTGAACAAGCAAGATTTCCCAGAAGTAATATATAAATGCACCACCAATCAAATTTAGTACAAAAAGATGTTAAATAATATTTAGTTTTGATAGTTCAACATGACCAGGTTGTCAGATAATGAAAGAGGGAAAGCAGAATACAACTTCACCATTGAATAATAATAAGCCTTCTCCTTTGCAATGCCATCACTCCAGCTTGCTGATCTTGAAGAAAACAGGCATCGACATCTCAGCTGGCACTACACCAATTTGAATGTGAAACATTGATGGTTAAAGCAATGCTTTGAAAAGCTGCATATGATCTAAAACCAACTGGATGTGCAACACTGGTGGATACTGAGATTGCTCACAAAAGCTGCTGATCCTGCTGCCATCTTTATGCCTGTTGCTTTTTTGCCAACCCCCCACTTCAGGTGTGAGTAAGCATGTCTAGGAGTTTTCCGGAAGGAGCTGGCTGGATTCAAGCACAGAAGATCAAGAGATTACAAAAGCCAATAGTTGAAGCACTAGTGTGTGCCATCTTTCATCACTTTATTCATTTTCTAGACTCATCTGGCTTCTTTTTTCATTGTGCTCTCGCAAATAAGAATTACTTTGGTATGACGGCAAGCCTGTAGAAACTAAGCATGTCTAAAGGTATGCTAGAAAGCTTTGTAAGATCACAGTTTTATTTCATAACAACCCCATGTTCATGACAACCTTCCTTATGGATATCTGACTCCATCATAGAGACCTTGGAAACCTAGATAGCTTTAAAATTCAATCCTTACCATGTGTCAATGATAATATGAAGCAATATTTCACTTGAAGAAAAATATGAAACCATATTAAGTATCATATCGCTAAGCATTTACTTCACTTGTGCACATTTTTATCACACTAGAATCCGCAAAGTTAACACAATCTTGATGAGAAAGCACCACAAATGTTTTCAGATGCTCTGAACTTTCTTCACCTCACTATATCTTGCTTCTTTGATGATCTAGACATGAAAAGAACCCAGCCTTATCAATGACTTTTTTACTTTTGTCGGCAGTACTAATTCGTGAAACCAGTGAGAACAGAAAGAATCCTTTCTTTGAAAAAAAGAAGATGCATCATGACTGCATGAACTCGTAAGCAGCACAGAAAATCTAGTGGGGTTGTTTTAAATAGGTCACTTTTCATAAAATCTTATTAAAATACCAGCTATGACAATCTGTAAAATGCTTACAGGACCCTGGAGAACTTCTATATAATGCAGAAGCATTTCCTTCATATGCATTCAACTTCCCCTGCTCTCTCTCACTCTCTCTTCAGCTATGGAGGATTCTCGGAGAATGCTTCCAGCCATCGTTCTGCTCTTCCTGCTACTGATCACCTCTGGTGCTCTCCTGTTCTGCTTTCTTCTCCCCATACATGTTGCAGTTAGGTGTTATCAGGATCCAACTAGAACAGTAAAACACATAGCATGTTAGCAGTCTGAAACTGATAGAAACAAGGATTCTAAGCAATAAGACATGCAAGTATCAAGCAGGCCCATGTAACTCTCTTATTTCTTAATATATTTTCCATAAAAGTCAAGGTTCTGTTGCATCAAGGAGTCTTCTTGCTTCTAGTAAACTGTTGTGTGAGTGTTCATATACTAATAATGCTTTTATTCTCACTGTGGAAGACATGGGGATGACATCAGTGGAAGCGAGGAAGTGCGAGTCGGCGAGCCACAAGTTCAAGGGGCTCTGCTTTCGGGCCAGCAACTGTGCAAATGTCTGCAAGACAGAAGGCTTCCATGGAGGCCATTGCAGGGGCCTCCGTCGCCGATGCTTCTGCACCAAGCATTGCAACTCTGCTACATGAGCACAACATGGTGAAAATGATGTCGATGATGGTGGCTAGGTTATTGGTGGTGTCTCGACAATAAATTATGTTAAGAGTCCATCTTCCTTTCTTATGCCAAGAGTTTGCTGTTAAAGCTGCCTTGATCTTGTCCATGGTTTCCACGTTGTTTGAATCTTGGATCTTCATGAGAATAAAGTCTTGTGGTTACTATCATTTACTAGTTACAGTCCAAGGAGTTATGCCTCCTAAGGTGACAAGCAAAGCCCCTCCTTTCTTCCCATTGTGAAATGATCATACACAGCTTTCAGGTAGGAAAACTGTGTATGACCCTCTTGGCTGCACATAGTAAAGTGCACATAGTAAAGTGCTTTCGGAATCCCCTTGGCTGGAAATATTGGCGTTCCTTTCTTCTGCGAGGCACTCAACCAAGAAAAGACCAAATTCTCAAGTAAATAATCTTCAGCATGCCTCTCATCTCACTTTTGGGTTTTAGAGTGTAGAAGTAATGTGTCTTTCCACTCAGAGTTGTTCTTCAATTTTTAATCCCAAGAATTTTCTTTTCTCTTTCATTTGCTCGTTCAATCAATATCTTCATTTCAAAGATCTTGTGAAATGAAGTTGTTGGATTTCTGCCCACATGTTCCCAAAAATAACAAAATAAAATCCTAATTCAAATATAGAATCCTAAATCAGAAGTTATCATTGGGGGTTCAAACAAAAAAGACATGCTTCCTGTCGTACTCAAATAAAATCTCTAAATAAACACCCAAAGAGCACAACAAAACCACTATTTTTCAGCCACTAAAAGGAACTTGTAATTATTTGGTCTATCAAAGTTTACTACCTTGTAAGATTTCATGGGCTAATGGAATTTATCTCATTGCCTCTAAACCACTGTGAAAACTCAACTTAAACAACAGAAACTAGTATCCTACTGTAGATTGATCAATAGGAATAGCAGCTAACAAGTATATATAATATCAAAATGACATGACTGGCTGCTAGAAGATATCAAATGTGCAAGTTTTTTGCCAAGGTAAGATAAAACCAAAAGTCTGGAATTTTTAATAAATGAAATGATATTGGCATCATTTCTAAAAAGCCACTACATAATAACAAGCACATTAATAAATTTACGATGAAGTTGATATTGTATCAACCGAATGCCTACTTCATGCATAATAGCAGTTCATAATGAAGAGTTTGAGTTTTAAATATCACCAAGCCAAATGTAGCATTATATACAGATGGTGCTTCCAACTGTCTACAAGTGCAACAAAAACGACATAGTACATGCTGAGAAGAATCATAAAGTTCAAGCTCAGCCAACAAAACAAAAGCATCAACATTTTTACCTTAGGTGCACTTTCCATAAGCAAATATCGGATATCCAAAGCAGCAATAGCATCCAAAACCCTGGTGTGGCCTCTAACTCGAGCACCAGTCTTCTTAAAAAAGTCAATAGCCTCTTCACATCTCTCATCTTTAACCTTTGCAAGACCTCTTGGATCATATTCTTGTGGAGGTTCTTCATTGTAAATAAAACAGAGAGCTGGAAATCCTATGGCAAAAGGGTCCTGTGGAATTAAGATATCATCCTCTAATACAACTCCACCAGCAGTGACAACAAGTTCTTTTAGGGACTGTCTGCATGAGAGAGTGAAGTGCTCACTTAGACGAAAACTTAGACCTGCGAACAACTTTTGTGCCTGCCAGAAAGATGCCAAATGGATGCAAGTTAATGTATCAATGTGTAATATAATAGTAGTCAGCATGATTAGCAACGTGAAATTTAAAAATCATACATCCTAAAACAAGGAGAGAAAAAATGCTATTGGATGTCTGCGAAGACCAGCATAAACCGAAGGATCAGATATCCTGCACTAAGGTGTTAATTTTAACAAAAGAGAAGAATTAATAATCCATTTAATTCAAAGTAATTCTTTTTATAGTAACAAATTTGGTTGGATAAAATGACCCATGACCCATTCGGTTTCCCAATATCAAGAAAAGACAAAAGAAATACTAATCCATTTCTTGTAGGAACAGAGCAAGGTAGAGACACATAAACAAGTAGAGGTACCTTCTCCATTGCTCCAAGCCTTCCTCTCATGGGCGGCCCATCTGTAAAACCATGCATATCAAAGCGGACTTCATAGGGTTCTTCCCAAACAAAATGCCCAGCCTCCATGCAAACCTTAACCCCTGCATATGATAATAAATCAAAATGAATACACAATACTAAGATAATTTGCTGCACGACATATCAGCACACACTTAATTAGAACGAATGAACCACTCAAACCATATTCTCTTGCAAGTGCAACTAATAGCAGTCTATATAAAAAGATATGTGGTGCCAAAGAAAAATGTTATTTTGTATCAACAAACATAACAGGAATCATCCGGTAGTAAGATGTAACTAAATAGATTGATATCAACCAGAATAATTTCTAAGTGCAGTGTAATTCACAGATAAGCATATGATTTACAAGCATTAGAAGGCTTAAAAATTTGTGATGTAGCACTAAGATAAGTGACACAGGAGCTCAGCTAAGGACATACTTATCTTCTAGTTCATGCCTGTGTATAAGCATAAGGGTCCTTGTTCTCAGCAAATAGCTTCAATATATATGTATATATATGTTTACAATAGTAGACATCTATAGCACTTATGCTGTCTAAATTGGGCAAACAAAAATATCAATCTAGGAAAGTGTAGTCAACAAAATAAAGAATGATATTTCTTTTAGTTAAAACTCACACTTTGTAGTGAGAACCCATTTCCCCGTCAAAATAGCCATTAGGACATTGTGCGTTCTACCGTATGCACTACTCTCATTGGTTGAAGCAATGACATGGGTCACATCTGGTCTCCACATTTCGGTCACTGTTCCACCAACCAAGCTAGCAAACTTGACCAGTAGCTCCTGTCAATAGATCAATAAGGCACAAATTATTTGAAATATCAAGCAATTTATTATCTCAGAAGCAAATAATACCAATATGCGAGAAAAACAGTTTTACAGAATATAAGCCAAAATAAAGGAAAAGTTATTCAATAAACATCATAGGGTTCTAATTTAAAGTTGGAGAACGATAACACTTATTGCATCTTATTATCTAAATACTCAAAACACTGAAAACAAACATTGACTTCGACATCACCTTTTCTGAATCCATGAGAGCAGATCCAATAAATATTCTATCATTTTTAACACCAACAGCAGCTGCGTGATGTTCGCTACTTTGATGTTCTGTTAGATTCCCCGAAGATTTTCGACATTCTCTATCGGAAAAAGATGAGATGCAAAATGAAATATACACTAAATGGCTTGACTGTGAAGAATAAACAAGAAATTGGTGGTGATGGCAACAACAAGAAGACATACATCTGAACTGATGGAAAATGTGTAGTTCCAGAAGATTTTTCAAGTCGCCCATCATCATCACATGGCAATTTTTCTGAAGAATGATTAGGGCACAACACATGGAAATTTACCTGTTACCAGAAGGCAATCATGTTGGATAAGTAAACGAAGAAGTTGACACTTAAGAAAGATAGTAACAACAGCAACAACAAGTTATGGTCCAAGCTTACGCAATCCCATCGACAATCAAAGATCTCAACCGCACAGGGCACATGAAAGCTTTTAGGACAGCTCCCAAAGTAACAACCAAGAGCAGCACCTTTCAGCCCGCATTTGCTGCACTTTATCTTTGAGGCACGTCTAAGTTCCACCTCCAAATTCTTTACAGTATCACCAGAAAAATATATCTGTGGAGCCCTGCACAGATGCAAAGTCATCGAAGAAAATATTCAAAGTCGACCAAAGAGAACATCCAACATATACAACAACATAGTAAACCCAGACAGGATAACAAAGAACAGCTGAAAGAAGAACAACAATAATGATAAAACAAGTTGTTTAAACTTGTTGACTCTTTGAAACAACCACAGTAACTCAGATGTACTCACTTGTTTAAACAAGAATTTCAAATCGCAGCTAAGCTAAACTTCGACGATCTTACAGTCCAAAATACAAAGACATTTGAGCATGTGTTGATTGGGATCGTACCATTCAATGCACTTTTGATGTGCATGTGTCACATGAGATTGGCCTGCTTCCTCCATAGCTACGAGTCTGCCATCTTTGTAGCAACACATTGGCCCAGACGCCTGACATGCCATCTTGTCAGAAAAACAATAATGTAGTATAACTATCAAAGCTGTTCAATGTGTCTAACATAACACCATAACAATCACCTAAAAACTGAAATTGACAAAGAAAAGAACTCTGCTGCAAGCATCACCTCAGTGGTCCTGAAGGAATGGCAAAATGCACATTCATCACCAAACACAATGCTAGGTGTACGAACATGCTGAATGGTATGGTTTTTGACACGTTTATTGTTTAGCTTCTGCCTCTTGGAAGTCTTTTGTTTTTGAACACCAGCTCTCGTTTGAGAAGAGCCTACAGCTGTCTTACCATCGTCTTTTGTTATAGGATGCCCAGTAACAGAGGAAGGTGAGAGTTGAGGCCTCCTAACTTCATGTGATGCATAAGAATCAGCTTTGATAGTCTTTGTTGGTGACTTCTTGGTAGTCTGCAACACAACCGATAAATGAAGTATGTAGTTGACAGATTCTGACATAACTCCAATCTAATGCCCACACTAAGATATTCTAATTCCTGTCATTTCATAAGAAGCTGTAGGTCCAATTAAGAAATGCTCGCATGTCGAAGACTTCAAGAAAAAAAAAAAAACATGAAATTTTACACACACCCACCATGCCAGTCTGAACTTGAAATCTATCAGAGATAGCAAGGAGACTAGCATTAACCTTTCTGATAAGTAAATAAGCCTTACTACTTTATATTTTTCAATCTGTGCAGATGGAAACGTATAGTACCCCATACATAGCACAATCTTGTAGCAAATGCACGGGGATGCTTCTAAAACATGAATATGTAAATCTGCATAAGAAGTGCAAAAGGTAAGATCAACGAACTTACATGTTCAGAATATGTATCATGAATGTCCAAATTAGAATCCCCATTCTCGCTAAATGTTGAAGGGCAATTAGGCGACCCTTTGTCCAAAGGAACAACTATACCAGACTTTTGCTCCGAATTCATGCTTCCAACTAAAATTATTTCCTGATTTTCTCCATCATGTCTAGTTTTATTACTACCCTCACCAGTCAATGGAGAACCATGCGAATGGAGATGGCCCGATTTCTCTTGAGGCATATGTTGTACTCCTATTGACTTAGCTTCGATATGATTGTTGACTGAGACTGGGTTTTTTTTGGCAGATATCCTTACACCTGCATCACGAAGGCATAGGATGATTATACAATTAATGATCACCAAAGTACTGCAAATGAGACCATTCATGATTTGAGAAATTGTCCATACCAGGGGAACCAGGAGGAGATGCTTTCCTTTGAACAATGGTGCCGATAGCATCATCCATCTCTTGAAAAATGCTCACAAGCCTTTCCACATGTAAAGCAAGCCTTATATCTGCAATCAGTGGTTTAGAACCTCATAACATAAATGTTGTTTGCGTAACACAAAAAAACCGCCAATAACATGAGAGAAGCACCTTTAGGAAGAAAAGGCAGGTCACAGGAAGGACAAACAGAACCCTTGTCGATCAAAGAACTTATACAACCACTGCATGAACTCAAGACCACATTGCCCAGGAATCAGTACCATCAAGGTAAATTACCCATAATCAACTTTCTACCAACAGATAAAGGTACGAAAATCAAACCTGCAAAACACATGATCGCAGGGCAACACTTTCGGCACCTTAAGCAAGTTAGTACTGCAAAAAGAACAAAGAAAATTATTATAAGATGAGAAGTATCAAGAGCGTCATAAAAATTTGAGTTTTCAGTGCCGGAAAGAAAAAGAAGAACGCATATCGTTCGAATAGTCCCACGTATTAAACGAAAGCACAGAGAGTAACACACAAAACTCAAAAACATTTTCTCCATAACATGCATTTTTCGTCTCGTAAAGAGATGAGAAGTCAATGACTTGATTCAGACCAGATGGAACACTTGAGCTCCAACTCCAATTTCACTAGATAATCGAGGAAGGGACTCCATATTTGAACTATGTCCTCGGAATCGATCATCTCCGGGCCTTTCTCTGCTCGCGGAGGTCTGTAGGTTTCCACAAACTCCGTAGATAGGTTCCGGCGAACGAATAAAAGGGAACAAAACAAAAGAGCTATACCTCGTTGACGTCGACAGCTGAAGTGCTGTCGTTACTTGCAGTGGCCCAGGCAACGTTTCTCTCTCTCTCTCTCTCCTCCGAGCTAGACGACGAATCGAGGCGGGAGAGAGAAAGAGAGGAGTGGGGGAGGTCGGTGGATGGAATAGACGGACAGGATACGATCATACAGAGCGGGGGAGCGATTTCCGAACCGTCGGCTAAGAGGGCTTCTTATTCGGGAAGCTACGCTGGCCGGACCACAAACGAAATGGATTTGCGACACCGCTTGTCGCGTACGCACCAAGCTACCTGTAGTATGATTTGGTGCACGCACGTCGACCCCACGACCGAAGCGATGTCCCCAATCAAAAGAAAGGTAAGGAATCGAGCAACGAGAAACTGACGCCGTGGGAATCAATAAGCCCGCGATTCGGAGCAGATACTTACACTGTTTCATGTCGACGAATGCATATAAAATAATAATAAAGCATAACCCAAAGTGTTGCATTTCATTGGAGGAATGCGTATAAGCATAAAGAAGACATTCTTGTTTTAATACCCAAACGAGCCACAACGAGAAACCTTTTTCCAACTCTTCCTAATTTTGGCTTTTATAATCTTTATTTGTTTGAATAAGTTTGGGCGGTTTCCCTCAAAAGTTTTCTTATAAAAAAAAAAAAGAAAACTCTTTTGCTTTGATTTTTTTTTTCCAATCGCAATGATACTTTTTTCTCGTCAATTTTTTTACTAATTTTTTCATCATTATAATATTTTTTTAATAAAATACTACAATACTTTTGTTAAGATATCATAAATAATATTATATTATACCTTTTTTATTATCATTACTCATAAAGCATTACGATATCATATAATTGATTTGGTTGACATCCATTCAGATCACTTATAACGTTTTTAATTAAATTTAATAACATCTTTATTACGATAATCAAAACATTATAACAAACTATTTTTTAATCCCTATTTGAGTAATGCCATTCCTAACATACAAATACCAAATTAAGTCCTACTATGCTATATCAGACGAAGTCTAGTGGAACTTTGATTTTATTTGACCTACTTATAATATTTTTCAATAATATTATTATTTTAATAAAAAAAATATTATAAAATTATTTAAAAATAGTATAAATAATATAATATTATATCTTTTTAGTTGTCTATATAGATCATTATAATACTAAATTTTTAGACTTAAAATTATTTTAATTAAATTTATAAATTAAATAAATTTTATAATATTTTTATTCCGATAATCAAAACATTGCAACAAGTCAAAACACTATAATTGATGAAAAAATAGTACCATTATATCTTGGATATTATTCAAAACAAAAAAGCATCATCTGAGAAAATTAAAAAAAAAATATACTTAAAAAAAATGACTTTTTAAGGCAAATCGCCTAATAGATTTTATAGAAAAACAAAACATGAGATGCTATAAACTTGCAACGCAATCATGTCACAACCGCTCCGACAAGCACGCGCGCACACACATACAAGTATAGATCACTGAGATCAACTAAATTAACCAGAAAGCAGATACAGTCTACTGATTGCAAGGGGGTTCTACAACACATCACTTGTTCAGGGTGTCGAATGTAAAACATAGTGCAGGCACTCAGAAAGTCACAATCATAATTACAAGATCTAGTTTTGAGCAGATTATGATTGGCAACATATGCTATAAAGCATGGGGAAGGCAACACATAATTTATAGAACCAGAGATGATTGACCTTGCAGATGTTAGGTGATGTCCTAACAAAAGATATCACTCAGGAGTAACCACTTGGGACATGCATACAGGAAACCTGGAAAGATTACGACAGCCCAAAAGACAGATGTTATTAAAGTTTCTTTCTGAAATTGATAGATGAAGATTCCATGACAGTAAGTCCTTTCCACATGTAATGATAGAAGTAAAAGTCAACAACATACTTGATGCAGGCTTCAAAGAAATATACGACTCTTCCATAAGTAAATTTATTAACCAGCCAAAGAAATGAAGCCAACCAAAATCCTGATGTTCATATGCATATGCAAGTTGCAATGTGTGGTTCATTTAGTTTATTAGCTTCCTGTCACTCTTTCCTAAATAATCCACACAAGTTTTGTTTGTAACTTGGTGCAGCCGAAATATGTGACTAAGTTCTCTCTCTCTCGAAAAGAAAAACACTGTAAATCTAATGGAATTTGCTCATGTCATGTAGTAGATGCCATAATGATTTTATTTGATTCACTTTGAATGCTTTATCTATATGTGCATTAATAGTCACAGGGTGTGCAAGCACTACAACAAATCATCGTAAAGCAGATGCAGAAACCTCCTAAGATGCATTTAGTCATGGAAACTTCAATGACTTGATCTACAATTCCCCAATCTGTGCATAAAAATAACTCTATATCACCCACCATTTTTTTAAAGATTTTTAAAATTTGCAAATGATATGGTTTTTTCATTTTAAAGAATGAAGAATGTCATTAGAATCAAGAGAATTGCTACTGGTGATGATGGTGAAGTAATCAAAAATAACAATTGATAGTAGAGCAGAAAAGTCACGAGGATTGTCCAACTTTAGGTACTAAAATATTGATTTACATTTACATAACATACCATTTCACTTTTCCTTGAGACTCAAGAGGATAAACTTGTGGACTCAATCAATCCCCTGCTTTCCCATCTTATGCAAATCTTCAGGAGAAAGTATTTTGATATACCAGACATTATTCACAAATGATCTGCATTGAGAATGAAATGAAGTTAACTCCACTATGAAACATATATAGTATGTACAATATTATATATGCTTCACTTATTCAGATACCAAGATGAGTTTATGCCTATTCTAAGAATCTCCAGGCTCCAAATTGTTTTCAACATTGAAGAAAAATTCATGCAGAAGTCCAGACCACTAAACTAGTTTTTGATGGAACATAAATCATCAGTATACCCAGTGATTTCTTTGGATTTTTTATTGAACATGAATTGAAGATGCTGGAAAGGATATCTTACTCCCAGGGATCGTCTCCAAGGAGAATCACATCGTTCTCCCTGTCGACAAATACAAGCTGCCAGCCTGATCTACGAGGATCTTCCAATAGACCCCCAACTCCAAACATATGACCCAGCTCGACACGCAGTTCATCGTAGTTGCTGAACCGGGATATGTCTAAAGACCGTCCAACTGATCCAGACTTATAAACCTGCATGGGAGAGCACAACAACTTACAGGCATCCAACTTACAGATGTAGCACAATCACCAAAATTTGTAGCTGTTACCTTCACAAAAGTTTGGGATTGTGGATTGCTCTCTCCTGAATTTTGCAGTAAGTTTGATGATTCATCCAAATATCCATAAAGAGAGTTTTGAATGCATGAAGCAACATATGGCGTGGCAGATGCATCACCGAGAGTTGCATTCATAGTTAAGTTAGGAGCTGCAATAGAGAGGAGAGAGGAGACATGATTCTGGAAACTAGGACAATTTTGATTTCCACCAGAACCATCCTTCTCTGCAAATGATGGAAGAAGAGCTCCAGCACCGAAAGGAGTCACCTGAGACTCATTGTGTTTTGGTTTCATTGGCTGCTGGCTCTGACCAAGTTGAGAACAGTTAAGAAGGTCAGTGTTCCCTTCAGGGTAAGTAGATCCAAATATACCCTGGACAGAACTCGATGTTGTGATGGGAAAGATATTAAAGCTTGAATCTGGAATGATCGGCTTCTCATAAAATTGAGAGGACAAACTCGACTGTTGCTGCGGGTGATTGTTGGGAATCTCAAATGTGTCTGCATAGGCATGTGTTTGTTGAACCTGCTGCTTGTGCTGTTCACTTAGTAGCTGCTGCAACTGTTGCTGTGGAACAGAGGTTGGTTGGTTCTCTAATAAACGTAGTGATGGAGAACTGATGACCTGCTGAAAATCTTGATGCTGCAAATGTTGGAGAAATTGAAATGGTTGCTGATATTGTAAAAGATGTGGTCTCAGAATATCCACGCCTCGAATGGCCTCCAAAGCGGCAGCTGACATGGTTTGGTACTGACTGACCTCATTCCCTGATAGCAACGGCTCGAGTCTCTCATGCATCCAGGAGCCCATATCAAGCGATGGGGAATTGAAGGGATGCGAGCCTTGTTCACCAGCATCATTCCTCAGCCATATGGGGGCATTTAGCTCATCTTCTTTGGTGTCTAAGATTGCAAGAAAAGATACTCAAAGCATACAATGAATGGTCAATTTACTTTGGTACACTTCCTTATTAGCTATAACAGATGATTCAAAGGTATGGATGATCTCACAATTGCAGTAATGACAGCTTTAGCAAGTAGTAGCTATTGAGAACCGTTAAAGGTGCAACATTCTGGAGACTAATATCAGGATGATATGAGACTCATGCAAATGCCCTTCCCAAGGTTAGATTATCAGTGAACAGAGGTAAAATAAGCAAATGATATAGTTTTACTTCTTCTTCTACATGCTTTTCAATAAAGAACAACAAGCAACACTAGGCATTATTTCATAATAAGTAAGAACAGTCTGTACTAGCGAAGCAAAAAGATATACCCTGAGAAAAAGGGCCTCCAAGATGCCAAGGGCGATTTAGCCTAAGAGGAAACAAAGACGGATACATGGGAAAGGTTGTTAGAGGCTCGATTTCCCACAATGACACTCTTGGCTGCCTCTCACCTGCTGTCGATTCATCCCAGCCAACCTGCAATTACTAGAACGGTACATATTACTTCAATAACAGCTAACAATTGTAACGAAGAAAAGAACAGCTCGTTTCTCGAACAAAACTCACAAGGTAACCCATCAATGGAAGAGAGCAAAGAAGGAAAGTAGAACCAAAGCCCATGAGATGGGCACCAAGTTATTACAAACATCACCAGACAGTCATTTCAAAACTTACCAAGGCAGCAAGCAATATCACATGTGCCCTTGAGCTGTTTATGACCAACGTGGGACATATAGCAAGAAAGGAGCAGTTCAAATGTAATCAAGGCAAAAGTGATATTACACCACAGCATGGAAGGATATAATCTTTTCTAAATTTTGGAAAATTCTCTTTTCTACCATGAATTGGTGGAAATCAATATTCAATATTTGTAAGATAAACCATTATGCTACCAAATCTTACATGCATATAGGTCAATTATCAATAAGAATTTCTTGAGATTACTGGATTTGAGTGTGGTTGTGCGCAACGTGTTTTTCTAAATTTCATTTCAAATCACATGCACCATTCACAAGTGCAACCCATGCTGCTGTGATAGACATGGGTAGGTTCTTACTAAATAGACAAACTTGAAGGCTGAAGCTAATGGTAATTGTTCGAATCATATGCTACAGATCGAGTGGAGCTGCTCATATGTTGCAGCAGGAAAAAATATATAGAATTGGAGATCATGCTTGAAAACTCAATAAATGATAGTCAAAGCATGAGAGTAATATGTGCAGGTAGTAAAAAGCTGATAAGTTAGGACTATCTGTTTACAAAGTTTAATGGACAGAGGAGATATTGATAATAAAATATTTTTATGATGTGCAATAATCATGCAGAGCAGCAAAAGGATATATCATGAATTCAGCTAACAGCTAATTAACAAATAAAAGTAGACCTTATTCTGCTACTTGATCCAGAATTTATATGAGAAATAGAACCTACATTATAATATTTACCTTGACCGATCTCCAATGCGAATTTGGCCAGCGTACAGGATCCAAATCACTTGTGCCAGTAATTGTTCCCATATACCTTCGCTCAACATGAAATTGAATAAAAAAAAATGTTTCAGAAACCCTTAATCAACAAGAATCATCCAGCTGAGCTCACAAACCAGATGGTTTCATGATGTTGTACCATTTTGTGAGTAAAACCATGAGAGTTGAATACATGGAAATAATTACCTGCGAATACTGCATTCTTCAGTCTCAAAGAGCATCCGAAATCGCATCCCAGCTGACACACGTGTGTGAAATACAGCCTTAACATACTTAGAAAGTGGTATCACGAACTCAGATGGATTTGCCCTATGAAAATTTCAACCAGGAATAATCAATGAACACTTGTACATGTACAAGAAAAAGACAATTGCATGTACAAGAGTATGGCAGCTGCCTTGGATTGTAAAATACTGTAAAACAGCCGTTTGTAGCAGCAGCATGAGCTGCTGCAGCAAGCAGCCCTATATGCATGCTGTCACTTGACAAAACTGATGATGGCATCACAGTTTGAGGACGATTAGCACGCCTGATTCCCAACAAAAGCTGATTCTTTTCATTCCTAAAGACAATGCACAAACTCATATTTTATACATCAGAAGAAAAGGAGAGAGATTCCCATCTCAAACATTATGCATCACGGAAGAACCAAAACAAACTAAGCAAACCAGATAAAAAGAACAGAATCCCCAGCGACTAATCTCTTGGCACCGATGAACACACTCCAGCCTGTGGTAAGCAGATGCCTTTTCGGTTGACCTGCAATCAGAAGATGAAATACGAAGAAAATCTAAAAAGTGACCAACATAGTTGCAGTAGGTTTTTATGGTCAGCCATCTGAAATAATAATTTTCATATTCCTCCAAAACCAACTTAGATGCATATAAGTAAATTAGCAAAGTTGACAAATAAATCTGATGCTCCACATTTTGGACTATTTTGTGACTTAGATGGGAACAATACTCAAGGTGGCACAGTAGTAAAAGTTCTCATTCAAGCTGTCAAAATCTGACCTTTAAATAAAGGACTGACGCTGCTCTTGTAACTAGTTAATTTTTGTGCATGAAAGGATAGAAGGATCCAAATTGCAAGCAAATCTTAGATTAGAGTGAGCAGCAAACAGATCCCTAGGGATCAAGGTCTTGCCACTAATGTAGTATGAGATCTCGTTTAGTCTGACACCAGAAGAGAAAGAAGGTCTGTGACAACATATAGCTTGATTTATCATTTTCCTCTTTCGTACTACGAAAAAGAAGCCTCACGCTATGTCAAATTGTAATCAACTTTCAACAGATCCCTGACATCTTTAGGCTGTCTAAATGCACTATTCCTCAGCTCCAGGTTTTATTTTTGAGAAAATAAGATGAGAAAGAAAGATAGAATTATAATAATAATAAAAATAAAATAAAATAAGAGATAACTATCAAATATCTGGCTCAAGAAAAAGCTTGCAGGATAAACATCACACACCTCCTCCACATGTCTCATACTTGAACAGAAAAATCATATTATTGAAAAAATAACCGCTCACACATAATGTGTGAAGACATCCATTCATTATTTTCTCCTTTTTTTAATAGATCTTGAAGGACAAGAGAAAATAAAAACTTACAAAGAATAGGCAGAATAATAACACAGCATAAATCATGACATCAATCATTGCAACACTATTTCTCCAAAGAAAATAAATTCTCATATTTGATTGGGAGAACAGGTTTCCTTGTTATGATACTCATCGATATATTTCCATCTCTTTATAACATTCAAATAAAAGCCCCCTGATGATCCTATATCGCCCAAATAGCAAGCCTTGTAAAGGGTGAAATTTGAAGTTAAAAGTATCCTAAAACTAGTCGAGTTAGCAAACCTAAGGAATGAAATTTCATGCTCCTCCAAAGAAGAAATGATGGTAAAAAGAGTGCTAGCTCGATGCAAAACTAGAAAATTTTAGGAACACTTGAAAATGGCCATGACCTTCACAGTAAAAAAATAAAAGAAAAAAAACCTAGCATCACAGCCCAATAGCACCCATCAAACCATACTTTTCTACTCCCATATTCTGATCAAGAAATCCTTTCTTACTTCGGAGTAATAAGTTCTCATTTAGACTTCTACACCCAAGAAATGTTCTTCAAGCTTTCTTCCAAACCTAGACTCTGTCCAGAATTAGGTGCCCCCATATTTTCTTGGGAACAATTACATTGACTATAGTACTTTGGCCACGAACCAATTATTCTTTTGGCTTAATCAATTCATAGCCTGATACATTGTTCTTCGGAAACTTAAGATAAGGGCCAATTGGGAGCGGACAACTTGGTTAGGTTATTTTGTTTATTTACCAAGTTTAAAGGTACAAGAGAACCCCAAGAATTTGCATGCCTATTCTCTTGGACAGGGAGAATTAGTACACTTAACAAAAAAAATGTTTGTTCCAGTCGATTTTTCTTAATTCTTATTCATGTTCCGAAAAATGAACTAAGAACACCAACCAATTGAGATTTTGGCTAGAACAACATCTGATGAGGCCAGGACGGCTATACTTACCTCGGTAGATGTGCTTGAACTTCCATTCAACACCGTGAAGGTCACGGGCAACAAGCTCCTGAGCTGGTGGCTGCTGCGAGAAATCCTATAACATCCAATGATGAAGCAGCACGGTCGATTAGCTCATTTCCCCTGCTTCCAAAAAATTGCCATTGAGAAATTTATACATTTTTCATTTTGCCAACACACCAGGGGAGGGAAGACTTTCTCAGCTGCTCGACGACGCACAGAAAACCCTCCATGTGTGCTCGTATCACTTGCCGTTAGAGTCTTGCAGAAATAATTCACTGGCTGCTTGCTTACAACGCCCATCTCAATAAGAAAATAAGCATCTTTCTGCTCTTGCTGCAGACAATATCAATTACGTCCAATACCTTCACCTAAGGAGAAAATACAATCGAAACATAGAAAGTGCATATCTCATTCGATTTACCAGTCTTAAAGGTTGCAAAGTCATCTGAGCATAAACTTCATCTGTTTCTGGATCTGCCTACAATATGTACAGCCACCAATTATTCTTCACATCTAGAAATATTGAAATCCGGACACGGAAATTACTGCAAGAACTGACATGCATCGTGACATTGTGGAGCTGGCAAAACAACTGAGGGGGCAAGCTTGGATAATTAGGGATATGACCCTCCGCTTCCTTGTTTGTCGACACAGCAACCTGAAGTAAAACCAGCGTTAACTTCTCTGGGGAAGAAAGAAGAGAAGTAGCCAAAGATCGGATCTTTCACCTGCTCACTATGGCCCTGGGGGAAGTAGACAACCCGAGTACCGGCTGTCGGTAAGCACACAAGTGGTCCAGCGCAGGCGTGCCAGAGCTCAGAATTCAAGCATCTCTTCTCCTCCTCTGATATAACACCATGAGGACCATGGTCTTTCATCTCGGCAAGAGGATAGGACTAAGATGCAATAAAAATACGCCAAGTAAGGGCGCTACCTTCTGGTTCTTGCTGACCGATACCTACTGTGGAAAGCTTCATCTTCCCAAGACGACTCAATTCCCTCGCCGCAATTCGATGAACCGAACCAACGTCAAGAAGTGGAGCTCCCAAGAACACATCAAGAACTAAGTTAGGGTTTCTCCAAATCTCCTCAAGATGCCGAAACAACTAGATGGCAGACCTAACTCTCAAACGTAGAAATGCCGACCCCGACACCGCCTTACAAATGCCACGTTCTTGAAGGAAAAGATGCGATCTGAACAGCTCCGAGCTACGAAGAACCGCCAACGACGCGGAGGAAACTGGCGAGGAAGCGCACTCCCTTGTGGTTCCGGGAGGAGAGGTCATCCGAGCTCGGAGAAGCTCTCGTTCCTCGAGATCGGCATGGGATCCCCGTCCTCCACCCCCCACCCCTCTCCCCAAGAATCTCTGAACCCGAAACAGTAGACGGCGGAGCAGCGATGGATGGATCGATCAAGATTTCAATATTACCCCCTCGCCAAAAACACATCAAATCAAATTTCTCGCCTTTTATCGCAACCGCGTAGAAGGAGTAGAAAACGGTTCATGCGGAAAGTGCATCATCACCGACGGATTCTCATTTCACGGATCTCAAAGAAGATCGAAGATATCGGGCGACGGATGTCGGCACCGCATACAGCTTTCTATGCTCGATCGCGACCGAACTCTCATCCAGAGACGTCGTCGCTGTGGCGAAAGGAACAATAATTTCGCTACCATTATTCTGTGTCCATCTCACATACGCGGTGGGGACAGCGGGGCCCAGGTCCTCGGCTTCTTCTCAGAGGATAGGTAATGGATCGGGTTGTGGAAAGTTGGCTGCAAACACGTAAAACCGCGTCCAAAACCCCCCCACGGCAAGCTGTGTACCCATGAAGTGTCCTAAAGCGGTGAGCTGGGACCGCGGGCGCCCGCTAGGTGACACACGCGATTTGACATGTGTACTTAACTCCACGTGGGCCTGTCGCTCGCAGCCAGTTCCGTACGGACGTCGCGGCCCAGAGGAGACTCGGCTACAGTTTTTGTGTTCCGAAAACACCCCTAACCTTCGCGAAAATAACGAACAGGGCGACGACGCGCGCGGGCCCGGTCGATCCACGAATTATTGCGCTACCAATGACCGGACCGGTCAGGACCGGGGAGCAGCGAGTCAAGGTCCGTGCACGCCCGCTTCCCGTCACTGAGGTACGGTTTCCGTACCCCCCCTACCTAAACAAGAAAGAAACGACCAGAGGCAAGCGGGGGAACGGTCGTACATTTTACTTCGCACATCGTTCCCATCGGAGTCGAATTAGATTCCTAGAGATGAGATGTGATGTATCACAAGAGGGTGACAGAAGTTGATAATGTTAAGATACCTTTGAAGCATTTACACAAACGCTTGGCGGGTCATTCTTTCGGTCAATTCAACTCTCTTGTTATCGACAAAAGAAGCGTCAGCGGAAGGACATCAAGCGTCTTCAAGCTGTGGCAGATACATACATGTAAAAGATGAGTTACTCGCGCTCTCCACATCTTCACAAAACAGAAAATCATCGCATACCTTCTCCGGCATGCAATTTCAATCTGTTGTTGGCTTTGATCGAGGAGCAAAGCTATCATTTCGCCAGCTAATGGGAAAGCTTAGTCGGCAAGACATCTCCGTGAAAACTTCGTCCTGTTGGCAAACTTGCCTCTTTCATCCACCTGCTGCACCGTGAGAACCACACAGGCCTTTCATTAAATGCTGGCTTTGGAGCGCAGGGGTTGGGCACGACAGCTTTTCGCAGATGGGAGCAGACATAAAAGGAGTGCAGTTTGACTTGATGGAGCTTCAGATGCTTAAAAGGAAATCGCCATCATGTCACTCATTGACCGAACGACAACCGGACATGTCCTTAACGCTTCGTATCGGAAGTGGAATTAGAGTTCGGCCATGTAGTCTTTTCTGTGGCAGGAGCCCAACTCATCTGCAGGATCCAGAAATCATTTCTCATTGATCATCAACACAACTAAATGGAAGATGGGTCACTTTTTGGACCATAATGACACAACTCTGTTGAAGAATGAATGCTAATCTGCATGAGGAAATGTAAACAAACACTCAATCTAACTTGAATACGGCACAGGGTTAAAAAGACTACATAGTCCCCATAAGTATCAGATGCTTTTATGGATAGTGATGTGTAGCTAACAAAATGAACACACAACAGAGATAAAACTTGCCAAGTATTCATTACCATAATCTAAGCTGACAATGACCAAAGTTCTTATTGCCATAATCTAAGCATAACATAAGCAGGAAACAGCAAGTCAAGGACATTTGTACCAAAACACCAGTCCTTCCGAGAGCTCCTTATTCTATATATATATATATATATATATATATATATATATATATATATATATATATATATATATTCCAGTAATCAAAAGTAACTAACCTTCAACACCTTGTGAATAAGGACTGGTGGTTGTTGAGAGAGAGAGAGAGAGAGAGAGAGAGAGAGGTCTAAAAGATGATACCTTGTAGCTGCCTTCTCATCAAAGGAGCTCTCAGAATTCTCCACTGTGACATCTCAACATTTCCACCCAGAGGTATGCACCATTTCATGGATACATTTGATCTTTCTTCCTCTCGGTCTTTGTTTACAATTATTCAGCCATAATGCATCCTTAAACAGCTCGACAAATTGGTACATAGTAGTATTCAGTATAGCAGTCCAGAGCTGATTGTGAATTCAGCACACCAGCATATATATATTCCAGGCAAAACGTAAACGTAGACTGTGAGCAAACGTTGCATGAGATTTCAAGCATCTATGTGTGATTGATTCACTGACACAAAACTTAAACCAAAAACCACACCCCCCAAACCTTAATCTGCAATTAATTTCACAAAGAGGAATATCAACTGAACTGGCATGCCACAATTTACATATCTACAGTCTCCACATGTACATAACACTCACTCCAGAAACCAGTCTCTCCACCACCATCCAACAACATTATGGCATCTTTACATCCTTCATTCTTTTTCTCCTTGAGGGAGGATACACTTGGCGATCCTATGATCTGAACTCTTCGACTAAACAACCAAAACCCTGACTAATGAATGGGATGATATTGAGTGATTCCACGTCTTGGAGGTAGCTTCCTTAGGATAAAAAGAACGAGAGATGAGGGTATAATTTCCACTAGCTGCACATCAAATAGAGGAGTCAAACACATGAATAAAGTACATAGAAAGTTCCAGCAACCCGTTGTGAATGCATGTCTCAAAAATAAAAGGATGAAAAACTAGAATGTAACCGCAAAACAAACTTCAGTACAAAACTTTAAAGCTTTAATTGGTTCATGCAGGTTTTCAACAACAACTGAAATTTGAGGAACTGACTATTTTATTTTTAAAAATATATAGTTTATTCACTTGCAGGTTAGCCGGGTTTCACATAGCCCATTTGTTCAACTAGTGACAGACACTCCAACCAAGTTAATTTTAGCCCTTTTGTTAAACAAGCAGCCTAATCCCATCAAGCCTTGGGTCTTGTCAACTATTTTACGACTATAGTTATGTGCTTGCCACCTTTGTAAGAATTCAAATCTTGGTGCAGAAGTAATTTACATAATGGTTCGGAGCCAAGTAGGCAATAAAGACCCCGAGACCAACGGACCTCAACTCAAGTGGTTTAAGTGCCACTTTTTGTACTGCAGTGAACAATATATTATGAGGCTAAACCAAGGTGAGTAGACCATAATTTTTTTCCCTTAATATTTTCATAAATCAATGTACTAAACCTTAGGTGGATGAAGTGCGATGTCTCAGGTAGAAAGTTGGCAAATATAAAATCAGACTAAACCAAGGAGGATACACCATATTTTCATAAAATTATACAAAAAATATATTTGTTAACAAATAGAATAGTGTCGGTTATATAGGAGGAATAACAAACTGTGTGGGGCATTCTTGTGGTTAACAACAGTTCACTAATGAATAAGCACCTTTAATTCTCTACTTCGTCAGAGAATAATAAATAGTTTGAGCCTCCTTTTATTATCTAGAAACTTCTAGAACTGCAGGCTTAATAAAGTTATAGAGCATAGATCCATGTACAACTATGATTTTCATGATTATCCAGTCCTAGTTCTGGTTTTCAGTCATACCTTGCTTTTGTTGGCTATTATCATTTTTTCCCAGTTTTAGAACTTATTAGATGAGTTCTATAAAGCTCAATCACTACTCGAATTGTCAAAAGCATGAAACAGATATGTCTAAGACTTGCCAACATGAGTGATATGTTAATCTTCAACACGATAAGAAACAGTAAAACAGTCAGTTGGATATTTAATCATATCATTATGAAGAAATGAACAGAAGGTCGATGTGACTTCTGTTCAACGGATGAAGTGTCTCAGCTTAAACCAGAGCTTTAAAATAATTTAGAAAAATAAACACTGATACGACACCTGTAAATGTAAAACAATAATCAGAATGTTACCAACCAAAGCTCATTATTTGTAGAGCCTACTTCTATAACTGCAACAAAAAGACAAGTTCATACCAGGTAGTACAGGAAGTTCAAAATAGGATGGTTGAGAACATCAAGGTCTGCAGCTTTGTCAAATGCGTTAAAGCACATCTGTGAATCAGAAAATAATTTAATGCAAACCATTATTAAAAAATCGCTTGATTCGTCGAATGGGTTAGGAACAGAGAATAGCAGTAACTGCACTACAGGAATCAAACTTACCATTATGCATCTCACTAAAAAGCAGGAGAAACATATAGTTGCTACATAACCAACCTACAAAAGCAATAAGTCAGCCAGAAGAAACTACAGACACCAAAGAGCTCTACCGTTCAATATAGACAATTTTAGATATACCTCCTGTAACTTTTTCCGTCTCCCTCTTGATTCAACAGGGAAGCGTTGCAACATCAGAAAAAGCCTATAAGTATCAACAAATAAAACTAGTTAAAAGCTGTAACCGAGTAGAAATATAAAAATGTGGAACACATGTGGTCAAATCAAACCATCAAAAGGCTAGTAGTTATAGACCCTAAGAAGCATGCTAAATTGTCAGTCATCCAAAGAGGACAGAATCCTCCTTCCTAAATGGTAAATGTGTTTTAAAAAAGAATGGGTAATCCCACAGTTCGCATAAAAAAAGTCAAATTCTAGTATCTGTATTAGAATCTCATTAGACTGGTATGTACCATCTATTAAGGTCTGATATGCTTTGATAGAACAATAAATAACCAAAAAATCACTGAGTGGTGCAGTTGATGCATTGGTATATCAGCTATGGTGCTCAGACAAATCAATTCACCCATCATACCCATGTCAACATGACATGACATGTGTGCCAGTGTCCGATATGCAGAACAATCAGAGAAAGTATTATGACCCGAGCCTGATGAGCTAACTAGCCTATCAACTTCGTTTGGTCTAATCTACTGATCAAAATGCTTAAGCTGAAGTTGATAATAGTACACTCATCAGACCCTTATAAGCCAATCATACACATTGCCCACTTCCGATGTGGGACTAATGGGATATTACAATCACCCCCACTTAAAGGCTTGACGTCCTCGTCAAGCCTCAACATAACTCAGATCAGACCCTAGCATAGTGCATGTGAGGAATAGCTCAGTGGTGGCTCCACGTCGTGACGAGTCCTCTTACTCCGTCTACGGGTAGTCCTTTCCTACTCGAGCCCCCTCACCATGCCCAAATGCTAAGTCGGCTCTGATACCAAATATTATGACCCGAGCCTGATGAGCTAATTAGCCTATCAACTTCGTTTGGTCTAATCCACTGACCAAAATGCTTAAGCTGAAGTTGATAATAGTACACTCATCAGACCCTTATAAGCCAATCATACACATTGCCTACTTCCGATGTGGGACTAATGGGATGTTACAGAAAGTCAACCACAAAACAACTAGACTTAAAGTCCAGACTCAATTGACTGTGGTCAGTTTAAACAGAACCAGGCATATCACCAGCCATTGCTGCCATGGGAAGGCATGCTGCCCATTGTTGCTCACCAATGCAGTGCATGCAATCACCCATCGTTGCTGCTGATGCTACAAGAAAGATATGGAAGGAGATAAAGAAGCAAAGTCAGTCAAGGATTCCACGAGTCCTTAGGTTCAGTAGAAGTTTGTTGGCATCCTCGACTGTCCAGTTAATATAAAAAAAGTAAAATGAAAAACAGATGAGAGGGAGGGAAAGGAAAAAGGAGAAGAGAAGAGAAAAAGAGAGAAGAAAGAATAAAAAGTGATGAGGAGAAAAATAAGAGACGAAAAATCATCATTATTGTAAACTGATCTAATTTTCTTAAATTTATTTCAGGCTTTATGATAATCTTAAGAATAACTAAATACATCTTTTACAAATACAAAGTTTCTTTAAGTATATTTACATGTTTAGATAATTATATGTGACCTAGTGTCATCGTACATGAATTTTATATTTGACCGCTTCTCAACCGTAACAGAATCATGTCAAAACACTAAAATTCATATTGCAACCAGCAATGATAACCGGGTTCACAGAACATAGCGTACGTATATTATGTCAAACGAGTATATTATAGTCAAATTACCATGGTATTTGAAATAATGACACAAATGCAAGGATCCATATAACTCAATTTTAGTACTATGATAGCCAGCTTCAACAGTTCTTTGGACTACATGGTTCAGACATCCAAAGCACATCCTGTAAGCTCATCGGCAGAAATGGATAGACAGTGCTCGTCTTATCTGGACTGCATCTGCAGCCAATCATTATCGCCAATAGCTTGAGAGCATACTGAGGAACTTGAAACATTCAGCAACAACAAAACTAGAAGTAACCAGTTCGCTTCTCATATTATAAAGAAGACAATAATAAAAGCTAATCATAAGCAACATACTTTAGGTTAAAGTTACACAAGTCACCAACCAGAACTGATTCATAATCCAATACGAGTATTGGCAGTGACAGAATTACAGAATGATGCTCAAAGACATTCAGACCAAATGGATGATATGATGAAGTACATGACTAAAAGCTATTACCTCCCTCCATAAAGGAGAAACCCAAGGGCAGCAAAGAATGAGACACCTGTTAATACAAATTTGCTCAGTTTTCCACTAGCATAAGCTGCATTAACCAAAAAGATAAAACAACCCAGGTATTTAAACTGTACCTGCAAAAAACAACTTCGACAATACAAGCACAGGCTGAATGGGCTTCCACCAGAAAAGCAACCACAAAGCTATCTGTAAGAATTTTTGGTTAGGTAAGTGAAGATTTACATGTCAGACCAATTGTACAGGATTGTCTTCTTATCCAAAGAATGATGCACAGAAAAGGACATTGAAAAGACTTGTGAACTGTATAAGGTGAAAATCCCGACAAAATAAGCAGAGACAAGCCAAAGAGAAGGAACAAATGTAATAAGAAAAAGTAATTTCAGTTTACTAATAACCAGAGTTAAAAAAAAAAAAAAGGAGAAATCTAGCAGAGTTTGAATGAAGTTAATGAAGGCACGATAATCTTTCCCACTAGGTTTATCTCTCATCTTTCCATTATTCTCTCATCATTTGCTTAATAGGGAGCTTAGGAGAGCTTGTGGCTAACCAATTCTATAAAACATGATCTAAGAGTAGAAGAATATCTAAAATACAAAACCATGATGGCTATTTTATTCGTCCCAACTTCTATTTGTAATTCTCTTTCAACCACAGATCTACTATAATACAAGAAAAAGAGGCAGGCAAGATCACCTAATCCAGGGTGCAATATCAAAATTACCTGTATGGAATAGATGACAGAGTTAATTGCATAAAAAGTTGGCCGGAGTCTATCAGTCGATACTGCACGTGCCTGTGACATTTTTATGCAGTAAAAATAAACTGATAAGCATCAGAACCATTTGAATAAGCGAGGAAAACCCTCCCAACAAACCTGATAATATATCTCAGCCCAGAAGAGCACCAAAAGTGCATAAGTTGTGAAGAACGCAAGGCTGGGAAAATCAAGAAGAACATGTTGAAGCACCTGAAAGGGAGCAACAGTGCGCTAATTGCTACAGAAGCCTGAAGCTGTACGCTCAAAACCAGCAAAAGAATGAAGTCAAACAAAAACCTCGGGCCTTATGCGTTGGACACTCCTGCGAAATGTAAAGACAGCTGATCTCACTGCAATCGAACACCAAAGCAACATGAGCAGAAGATCATAATGCGCGAAGGCTCCACTGGTGCTACCAGATGCGTGGAAATCAAATGGAGAGGGATCCGTGCATACCACCATTTACCAAGAAATTCAAGAAATGGAAGACCTTTTGCGTCGTCCAACCGTACTCTGGAACCCTACATTCGATCCTAATCAGTTGAATCTGCAAAGTTTGATCTTTTAGTCCAGTTTTCACAACTCCAACCATCTACTCTGTAAATCATAAAGAAATCAATACTTCTTCCCCCCAAAAAAGATGTAAGATTTCAAACCTTTTTCCCACCAAAAAAACCCTCAAATATTCGAACAATTTTAAGAAAACCTAATAACCTCAGAAACAAGAAAACAATCTTTTTCCCTTTCCTTGCGTCTTTTGACACACAAAACTTTCTAGTCGAAAGAAACACCAGGGCGCGGCAATGAGATCAACGACAGAATCCAAAAAAAAAAGGAAGGAATTAGACGGGGGGAGAGAGAGAGAGAGAGAGAGAAACGGTTGGAAGATTACGAGGGCGACGGCAGCGACGAGGCCATAGAGCAAGGCGAGGATATGGAAGATCCAGTCCTGCCACAGGGCAGAGTTGTTAACCTCGTCCCACCAGTTGGAGGCGCTGCTGACCACGACTGCCGTCACCTTCGGCACGGATGGGGCCATCGGACTCGTTCCTCGGGTCTCACCCAGGGATAGGGTTCAGAACGCCGCGAATCAAGGGTGAGGGGTCAATGGATCGGCAGCGCCCGGGGTCCGGAGATGAGAGACCGGGAGGATCTCGAAGGCGGAGCGAGATGGTAGAGACGATGCGGGCAATCTAAGAAGGACGGGAAACCGAAAGGGGAAACCGCCGAATGCTCCCAAATTAATCTCGAGACAGCGGGCCCAAATTACAGGACGGGTCTACCCGCACGCATACCTCTATATCGAACGTTGTGGAGCCCACAAAGAACATCCAACCATTAGAAGGGGGGTATCGATCGAGTAACGATCCGACACCCAACCATTATGGATTCTTGGCACGTGTTGTTGCAAGGCAGGAACAGCTCGGCTTCGGTGGCCTCCGCTCCACGCTTGGAATCGCGTGCGGGCTAAAGAAATCGGAGGTCGGCATGTTACGGGTCGGGTCGTTCGGTCCATCCGACCCGTTTAAATCGGGTTCGGGTATCTCGAACAAACACGAGCAGAGAGAGACGGGAGGAGACCAAAGTAGGAGAATGCCATTCATGAAACATATATTAATTCTCCGACTTGGCATTCCATCAAGCATCATTATTCATGAACTTAGCTATTTGATCCTAAATTCTATCCACTGTCACTGTGGCATTTTTTTTTGTGGCATTTTTTTTTCTGACACACTGATGTTGAGATCAAATCTCAGATCTGCAAACATGCTGCAGAAGATTTCTAACTATAGAACGCCACTTTTAAGACACCACGATATATGGGATCTATTGGTCCAGTGCTTTTGGACAATTAGGTTATTTGAATTTAAATCATTAATTAAAAGATAAAAAAAAGGGCAGCGACCGATAGGGTGCAACGAGGGCAGTGGTACTCTATATGATTAAAAAAAATTTGCTAAATAAAAATGTCAGAAGGAAAGAATATGGTGAATCTTCTTTTGAGACATTTGTTACTAAATAACAAAAAAGACAAGGAAGAAGTCATAGTAGAAATCCACATGGTTATAGAGGAAGATCCAAGTCTAGAAGATATATCAAATATTTCCACTGTAATAGGTCAGGTCACATGAATAAAGAGTGTAGGTTTTGAAAACAAGAACAGAATGAAAAGAAGAAAAATGAAAAAGAGACCAATAGGCTAAAGATGATATCATTATTGTTTGTGATGACGGTTGTGTCAGTCTTGTAGCTCAGGATAGTAATTGGGTGATTGACTCTAGTGCTTCATTTTATGTCACTTTTCATAGTGATTTCTTCAGATCTTACACTACTGGTGATTTTGGTAATGTTAGAATGGGAAACAGTGGTACGTCGAAGATTATGGGTATTGGAGACATTTACTTGAAGATCAATATTGGGAGCAAATTGATACTCAAAGATGTTAGGCATGTTTCAGATATTCGTCTTAACTTGATATCTACTGGCAAACTTGATTATAGCAAACTTGATGATGAGAGATTTACATATTATTTTAGTGAAAGTAAATGAAAACTCACTAAAGGTTCTCTAATTGTAGCAAGAAGAAAGAAGTTTAACTCTTTTTATGTCATGGAAGTTAAGCTACACAAAGGAGAGATTAATGCAATTCAGAAATGTGAAAGTATAGAAGTTTGACACAAGAGACTTGGACATATTAGCGAGAAATGACTTCAAACTCTTGCTAGAAAGCAATTCTTACCAGAGTTGCAAGGTACATCTGTTGAATCTTATGATCATTACTTAGCTGAAAAAATACATAGAGTTGATTTCATATATATCTATAATATAGAAAATCAGATGTTATTGATTTAGTTCATACTGATGTTTATACTATGCAAACTAGAACTCTTGGAGATGCTCCTTTTTTTGTTACTTTTATTTATGATCATTCTAGAAAAATTTGAGCTTTTGCTTTGAAATCTAAAGAACAGGTACTCAATGTTTTCAAAGAGTTTCATGTCAGTGTTGAAAGAAAAACTAGCAGAAAGCTAAAGTGTGTTCGATAAGATAATGGTAGTGAGTACATTGGGTTTTTTAGAAAATTATTACAGGTTTCATGGTATCAGAATTAAGAAAATTAGTTTCCAAAACTCCTTAGCAGAATAGTGT